CCGGGTGACTCTGGGCGGCAGCAGGCACAGCGCTGCGGGGAAGGTAAGGATTCTGCCCACAGGAGGGGAGGGTGGTGTGAAGCCCTCCCTCCCCTGGACCCACACTCCACAAGCTGGGCCTCCCTCAGGCCTGGGGGCTGCTCTGAATGGCTGCCTCAGGCCTCCCTTCCTCCCATGGCCCGGGCCCTAGGAAGGGTGAACACCAGCGAGCCAGGGGTTAACTGCTTGCGGCTGGCTTCTCCGAGCAAAGGGCCCTCTGTGCTTTTTTCAATCCTCACCTGAGGATAGGTTTTTCCTTGTTTTTTCAGAAAGAATGGAAGGGAGGGAGGGGGAGGAGGAGGGGGAAGGAGAGAAAGAAAAATGGATGAGACACGTTGACTGGTTGCTTCCCACACGTACCCGTACCCTGACCAGGTCCCATTCAAAACCATGACCCTTCAGTCCCGGGGCCTGTGCTCAAACCACTGAGCACACGGGCCAGGGCGCCCTCTGTGTCCAAGACTAGCTGGGACCCAGTCAGCATCTCCCAGGCTGGTGGGGGCTGGCTCAGCCCCTAGAAGTGAGGGGCCAGCTGCTGCAGCCTCCCCAGCAGGCCCAGGCGCCCCCAAGCCCTGGCTCCTCCCGCAGGCAGTGCTGGGGGAGGGACTAGAGAGCTACAGGCCAGAGCATAGCTGCTGTGGGGCCCGCACGGGCGCCCCCACCCCCCACAGGCCCCACAGGCGGAGCTCGGCGGCCACAGCCCCCTCCCTTTCCTTCCCAACCTCCAGAGCCGGCGGCCGGGCCTTATCTGTCAGGGATGGGCAGCAGGAAGTGGTCATCGGCCCTGGCCCCGGCGCGGGAGGCCCAGGGCTGGGTGGATGCGCGCATTCCTGAGCACAGCGTTCTTGGACTTGCAGCCTCCGGGGCAGGAATGTCCACTTTGCCCCTCCCACGTGACTGGGCCAGTGGCGTAGCACTCTGGCCCTGGTCACCTCGTAAGGCGGATGGGAGGTGTGGGTAGAGCCGCCACCCACCTTAGTCTCTCCCCCCTCCCCGCGCCCAGGGAGACTCCCCCTGAAAGCCCCCCCCCCCTGTCCGCAGGGTCCTGCCCTACCGTGAGCCCAGCGAGGCTGCCGGGCCCCCAGCCACGTCAGCTCCCCACCCAGCATGGAGCCCCAGGACCCCAGTGTGCAGTACAGCAGGTGGGATGAGGTCAGTGTGGGGGCTGCGTCCAGTCCGGAAGAGGCCCCCTGCTGCGACAGGTGAGTGGGGACAGCCTCCGCTCCACACCTGCCCCCTCCCCTGGCCTCTGAGCACACCCGGGCCCTCCGCCTCTGCTCCTTCCCCGCATCAGCAGAGCGCCCCAGCACCCCCACGTCCTTTGGGGCTAACCTGCCCCGGGGCTCCCCCCCTGGGGCTTACTGCTGCCCTCAACCTGCCCCGGGGCTCCCCCTCTGGGGCTCACTGCTGCCCTCTCACCCTAGGCTCTCCCGGAAGCTGTGCTCGGGCCGGCTGGGGGTCACCATGAGGATGCTGGGAGGAGTGGCTCTCTTCTGGGTCATCTTCATCTTGGGCTACGTGGCCGGCTACCTGGTCCACAAGTGCAAATAGTGCCGCCGGGGCCATGGGCACGGGCACAGGCCGGGGGCCTTCATGCAGAGCCCCCAACACACATCCTATAGACTCCCCCACACATGCATCTATCTGTACAGGCTCCCCCCCTTATATACCCCTCCCCATAGGCCTTCCCATGTACATGCATCTGTATACAGACCCCCCCACAAACATGCATCTGTATGGACTCCCCCCATAAACACGCATCCCCCTATAGACCCTCCTATACACACGCATCTGTATACAGACCCACACACACGCATCTGTACAGATTCCCCCATATACACGCATCCCTATATAGATTCCCCCAACACACATCCTATACAGACTCTCCCCCCAGATACACGCATCCCTATACAGACCCTCCCCTATATACATGTATCTGTATACAGACACCCCCCACCCCCATACAGAGGCCCCCAGAGCGCGCTGAGGGGAGCCGTGTGTGCCCCTCTGCCCTCCCTCCCAGGGGCTGAGACCTGTTCCTGGAAGACACTTCCCAGGCAGAGCAGGGAGCGACCTCCACCCTCACCCTCAGTCTGCCCCCTGCTTTCCTTCCGCTGGGGAAGAGTTTGTCAGTCATTAAATTAAATGTCTGCTGAATGAAAGATGCTGGGGGCCAGGTGTGACTCGGTGCCGGGGCAGCTGTGAGGGGGCCTGTGGTGAGGCTGCCTGGCTCAGGGCCTTGGGACACACCCTCCTGGCTGGGCCTGAGGGCCGGGGTGTGGCCAGACGGGCTCCTGTCCCCGAGCAGGCATCTCAGGACGAGGGTGGGAGATGAGGAGTCACTGTCCTCGCGGGCCCTGTGTTAAGTCCCCCCTTGTCAGGCCAGGCTGCCTACAGGGGCACCTGTGGCTGACGGGGGGACGTCAGGAGTCTGTGTCCAGGTGGTGTCCGGCTCTGACCCCGAGGAGGTGGGCAGGGTCCGGGTCCTGTGGGCCTGCTGGAGGGGCCTCAGGGAGCATCCTGTCCAGCTCTGGTCTCGGCCTCCGCACCCTTCTGGCCCCATCAGGGGAGGGAAGGGGTGCAGCTGGCGCACCTCTCCCAGCCTCACCCTCTGGCGCCGACCAGGAAAGGCCGTGGGGTGGGGGCTGCGGGGAGGTGGGCAGGGGCATGGGCCTCTGTGGGGCCAGTCTGCCCTGGGGGAACCAGGAGGGGCCGAGGGTGTGGACAGAGGGGTCCTGGTAGCCCTTGCCCACTCCTCCCCGACTTCCCAGGTGCACTGCAGGCTCCGGCCTTGCTGATGGACGGGTATGAGCGGCCTGGGGCAAGGCCGGCCGTCCTGGGCAGGTATCCAGGGCAGGGAGGGGCGAGCAGGTGGCAGGTGACCCACGCTGAGGGCACTGCTGGGAGCCAGCGCTGCCTGGACACGGAGAACCTCCTCCAGCCTCCTCCCGGGCTGACCAGATGTCAGGCCAACACGATGCCCGCTGGAGCCGCGCACGTGCACGCACCCGGCTGGTCCCAGGAGCCAGTGTCCCTGTCCCGGGGGCATGAGGCCTCTGAGACTGATCCCCCAGGGCCCCCAATGTACAAGGCACAGTCCTTAGGGCCCTTGCTGAGTCGGTGCCCAGCCTCCCGACAACAGGCACAGGAGTGGGCAGGCCCAGGAGGCAGGGCTGCAGGTGAGCCGAGAGGCCCGGGGTCTGCGGTCTGTTTTGCAGACCTGCCAACCCCCCACTGAGAGCGGACGGGGAGGAGCGGGTGCGCCCACTAAGGTCGCTGTAGATGCAGGACGGGGAGTGGCACCAGGAGCAGCAGGCGGGGGCGGCCTCGTCAACGTGGAGGTCGCACCAGGTGCACTGAGCCAGGGGCCTGGAGGACAGCTGGGCTGTGGCCCCCCTTCATGCTCCACTGTGACCCACAGACCCCATGCCTGCCAGCCAGGCACCAGCAGACACTGCACAGGAGGCTCGAGGGGGTGGGGGGAGCAGGGTAGCAAGGAGTGCCTTTGGCGGCTCACCCACATCAGCCCAGGGACCACGGTGGGAAGGCCTGGTGGTCCAGAGCCAGGTCGGGGTCTCAGCCACCCACCACGTCCTGTAGAGGGGGCTGGCTGAGCTCCCAGACCCCGTGCATCTGGTTCCGATGGCTAAGCGCCCCTCCCCCAGACGGACATGGGCCTCTGCGGGTTGGAGCCGTGGAATAAACGGTCGCTCTCCACTCCAGCTAGAGCCTGACGGCGCAGTCGGCTCCACAGCCCCGTGGCCGCTCCCGGACCCAAGCATGTGGCCCTGGGAGGGCACATGTGTGTGCTCATACAACACACGCAGACACAGGCTTCCTGCCGAGACATTTAACACCAGAAACACCTACAGCCCCACCCACCTGCACGTCCCCCTGGGACTGGGGTCTACCTGCTCGTCACCACAGGCTCACTCCCAGCGGCTCTAAGTCCCGCCGACTCCTCCCCCCGGCAGGTGCCCCTCCGAATTGCCACCCCTAAGCGTCCACCAGCATCGCGTTCACCGCAGGCTGAGGATGAGGCTGCGCGTGCTCAGTGCACCGGCAGCGGCGG